CTAAGTTTAAGCAAACTACGCTTCCTCATACACGTGCGCTAACGTGTAAGCCGAAGTAGTGGGCACACAGTGAGAACTGTGAAGATTGCCTTGCAATTTTCCAGTGCAATACTCTTTCACCTTGCAATAATGCATTCCGCTTTATATTGCAATCCCCTTATGCGAACATCTTCAAGCTGAAGTCATCATTGCGAGGATATTCATAGAACTTATACTGTATTGAAGAGGATTCCGCGATACCTGCGCGGTACACAGGCCCTAGAAGCCTCATTATAGGAGCAAGGACGGTGGTAGTTGTGTTCGGGCTCTCAATTTTCATTTTACTCGGACTCGAATAGAACCAACCTTCCACAACTGTCCTTAAAGCCCAAGCATCACTGCTTCTCCACTGCCTTCTTTCTCAACCAACGACGGTCGCGGTTGGATAAGGTTCGACGAGGATATTGTCAAGTTCTTCGTTAGCAAATGCGTTGTCATGAGAAAGCTGTGCTTCCTGATAGACGAGCAACGTTCGCACACATCGTACCCGCACACTTTGCATCGGTAGTATGCTCATACTCGCGGAGCTACCAGTCAGTCATATTCAACCGATTGATATCGCTTGGCTTTTCTGCTATATCTGTGCCAAAGTATTGACTATGAGTAATCCAGAGTTACTGTCAGGGTTGATCATGATATTAATGACTACTGGGAAGCCAAAGAAATGAAAACATATCGAGTTGTAATGTAGAATAAACCAATGAGCAATGAAATATCACTAACGGTGAGCCTTACTCTGCAACAGCTCAGCACACGCTGCCACCCGCAAATGATAATTGGAAATTGAGTGCCTGTAGCGTCATTCAACTCGGTGTCCATCGTGGCTTGTATGTCCGAGTGGGTGCCTTCCTGGATGGTGTCCAGTGTGTCCTGTACGTCCCATTGAGTGCCTTGCGCGTCTTGAGCACTATAAAGGCTGTCGGCGCCCAGGCTCGGCCAGGTAGTACTTGACAACGGATTTCCTGGCGTGGGGTTAAATCGCCATGACGCAGTTAGCAGTCAGCGTGTCAAGCAGTGCTTGCGCCTGACCAACTATACAACATAAAAGAGTTGTTTTATCTAAACAAAGCACTCACTAATTAAGTCCTTCTCTGCCCCCGGACAAGGATATCATCGTTTCTGTCCCATGCTGCGTTGGTGAGATTGCCGCTGTCGGTAAGTACATAGACCGTGTCCGGATACGTAAGAATGGTGCATTTTACGCGCATCATCTTCGACGTCTTGCTGTGAACATCAGGACACCTAAAAATAGAACCGCAAGAGGACGCGCACAAATATATTAGAGCAAAACATTACCTGTCGTAATCAGCATCATCACGCAGGGTATCCCATCGGGAACGAACGTGTCCATTTTGAGCCGATGTTCACCATTGTTGTCTTGCTCCGCCGATGCATCGATATGATGGCATGACAGAATTCGACATCGGCGATCGCATAGAATGAAAAGCATTCTTTAACAGTCGCACTATCGCAAAGGCGCGCCATCACCTCCGCTCTGAGGTCTCTATTTACAGCCGAAAAACAAACGGTTGTGGCTACCGTATCTATGTAATCATGTCTGTCACCAACTGACTCACCTTGACCGTTCTCAAGACGTTCTCTCGAAAGGCAACCGCTGTGCGACTTACCGTTCATAATGTCGCGGACAGCCTGAGGACCGCACCGGTATTTGGAGGAATGCATCCGACGTCTGGCTTGCCCGTGAGGTGGTGTAATGGGCCTACTCTGTGCCCACTTCCTCGGATTACATGTGTGCGCACGTGTGTGAGGAATCGTTCACTTAGATTAACTCTACTTTCGTCCGAAAGTATAGATTTACTTAAGTAAGGAGAGCTAAGCCAGTTTACGATATAATTATAAATGTTATTTATGGTTCTGTGTCTTTGTTTGAGTTTCCTCCTAAAAGTGGTATTGTCTATGAAAGGTATTTGCGAACGAGTGGTTATTACTGCTGTTATTGGTAGAAAGATGTTGCCATTATATCAATAGGAAGTGTGGTGTAGTGATTTCTAAGTAATCGCTGAAGTGGTTACATTCAAGTTGCCAAAGGCCATGAACGCTCGGTCACGTGATAAGTGGCAACCACTGGACAAAGCGGTCAAGGATGCGTCACTACCAAACGCTCATCGGGTCCGACAATGACCAAGATGTCACACAAGTCGGGTGGTCAGTATCGGTGAAGCTAGATTCACATTCAGCGATCAAGAACTGACGGACTGCGGTACTACGACTCGGTGACGGTTGGAGCGACTCTTCGGTGGGTGCGACTAGAAGTCGAGCGCCCACCGGAGACCTGAGAAGGCACAAGGACGGTTGAAATGACTGTTGGAACACGTAGCGATCCATGACGGCTAGATTTTTGTATACTTGATTCGGATTGCATATTAGGAAGAGCCCGAAAGGGCATAACGAGTAACAGAACAGAATTTTCACTCAAACACACGAGCGAGGTCCGGCTTCAAGGTAAGCGTCTGG